CTTGCTGTCCAAGGGACTCTCAAGAGTCTTCTCCAAAACAAACAAACAAAAAGAGTCTTCTCCAACACCACAGTTCAAAAGCATCAGTTCTTCGGTGCTCAGCTTTCTTTATAGTCCAACTCTCACTTCCATACATGACTACTGGAAAAACCATAGCTTGGACTAGATGGACCTTTGTTATTGGCAAAGTAATGTCTCTGCTTTTTAATATGCTGTCTAGGTTGGTCATAACTTTTCTTCCAAGGAGCAAGCATCTTTTAATTTCATGGCTACAGTCACTATCTGAGTGATTTTGGAGCCCAAAAAAGTAAAGTCTGTCACTGTTTCCATTGTTTCCCCATCTATTTCCCATGAAGTGATGGGATCGGATGCCATGATTTCAGTTTTTTGAATGTTGAGTTTTAAGCCAGCTTTTTCACTCTTCTCTTTCACTTTCATCAAGAGGCTCTTTAGTTCTTCTTTGCTTTCTGCCATAAGGGTAGTGTCATCTGCATATCTGAGGTTATTGATATTTCTCCCAGCAGTCTTGATTGCAGCTTGTGCTTCATCCAGCCTGGCATTTCACGTGATGTACTCTGCATATAAGTTAAGTAAGCAGGGTGACAATATACAGCCTTGACGTACTCCTTTCCCGATTTGGAACTGGTCTGTTGTTCCATGTCCAGTTCTAACTGTTGCCTCTTGACCTGCATGAAGATTTCTCAGGAGGCAGGTAAAGTGGTCAGGTATTCCCATCTCTTTAAGAATCTTCCAAAGTTACATATAGTTCCACTATATGTTATAATTATTCTTTTAAATAGATAATTAAAATTGTTAGTTGGAGCTTCAGTATCAAACTCTCAAAAATTAATAGAATGAGCCAACAGAAAAGTAGAAGGACATAGTAGACCTGAGAAATACTATGAACCAAGTCAACATAATTAAGATTTATACAATTTTCACACAACAGCAGAATACAAATTCTATTCAAGTTCCTATAGACTATAAACCAGGAGTCACTGGAACATATTCAGGGATATAAGACAAGGTGCAAAAATTTAATGGTCTGAAAGTATTGAAATCATATAGTCTGTTCTCTTACCACTGCAGAATTATGTTAGAAATCTATATCAAAAGATATTTGAAAATAACCCACATATTTTCAACTGTAATGTAACATTTACCAAGAGACATCTTTGACTGAGCCATTGAAAGCCTCAATAAAGTTAAAAGACTGAAAAAACACAGTTGATTGCAGAGAAGGAAGCATTTAAATGAGAAATTAATAGCAAAATGAGTAATTAATATCAAAGATACTTAGATAACTCTTATGTGTTTGGAAAATAAATGTCCACTTTTAAAGGATGAGTGTATCTAAGAAGCCATAACAAGGAACATTAGAAAATATATGTAACAGAATAAAAATGAAAAGAGAATTTGTTGCATGCAACTGAAGCTGCTCAATGCAACTAAATACAATATGGAAACTTGAATAAGGAATGAAAACAAATAATGAACATTGGCATAAAATTTTGTGAAATTTAAACAAAATCTGTACTTTAGTTAATAATACTGTGTCACATGTTAATTTCCTGGATGTTTTATACAACATAGTATTTCTTTATATTCTCAGAATTGAATTAGAAGTTTCAAGCCTCATTCAAAAAAAAATTTTAAATCACTAAGATAGTAAGCTTTCTAGGTTTTTAACAGTAGTACTAGACACCAGAATAAATGGAACTATCCAACCTTTGAGTGAATATAAATTAGAAATCTAGCATTCTATTCATACTTATTCAAACAGTTGGAACCAAAAGTCATAAACTTTTTACCCAGGCAAAAATTCATGTTTTCTAAAATATGTATATTATATATTACATAATGTACATAATATTTTATATATATACAAAAGAGCTTTTCTACTATACTTGATAAAAGCTTGAGAAAGAACAACAACAAGAGATGGAGAAGTTGGAAAACATAAACTAAATTATATGGGAGCACTGAAATAGAAAAAGTGAAACAAACTAGGTAAAAGTAAAAGATCATATAGTCTAGTTGTTTTTAAACGAGGCTGCTCATTAGAATCACATCTCGAGCTGGGAGGAAAAAAACAATACCTGGGCATCTGTATTTTTTTTTAATTACAAGATAATTCTAATGTGCATCTGGATTTTAAAAAATAATTACAGCTTTTTCTATTAAATGGTAGTTTTAGTGATATAGAATTCTCCTACTTTCTGTTGACCGATCATGATACAATGGTATTAAGATGAATAATATTTACATAATCACAATAGTAAAAGATGTTTATCAGTTTTCACAATCAATAGCCAGACAAAAAATGAAAGATAATTACAACTGGAAGCCATAATGGAAGCATGATTAACCTAACAATATAAAATAATTACATACAGTTTAGAGAATTAAGTAGAGTGATGTGGTAACTGAAACTGCATACATGCACATGTTTTCATCCACCCAGCCTGTCTATGTCTTTTGGTTGGTACATTGATTCCACTTACATTAAGGTAATTATATATATGGATGATCTTATTATCATTTTCTTAATTGTCCTGTTTATTTTTTGTAGGTCTTTCCCTTTTCTTGTGTTTCCTGCCTACAGAAGTCCCTTTAGCATTTGTTGTAAAGCTGGTTCAGTGGTGCTGAATTTTCTTAACTTTTGCTTGTCTGGAAAGCTTTTGATTTCTCCATCAAATCTGAACAAGAATCTTGACAGGTAGAGTATTCTTGGTTGTAGGTTCTTCCGTTTCATCACTTTAAATATATCATGCCATTTCCTTCTGTCTTGTAGAATTTCTTTCAAGAAATTAGCTTATAACCTTATGGGACTTCCCTTGTATGTTGTCATTTTTCCCTTGTTGCTTTGAATATTTTATTAACTTTTGTCAGTTTGATTATTATGTGTCTCGGTGTGTTTCTTTTTGGGTTTATCCTGCCTAGGACTCTCTGTGTCTCCTGGACTTGGTTGACTATTTCCTTTCCTATGTTAGGGACGTTTTCACAAACATTTTATCGGGTCCTTTCTCTCTCTCTTCTATTTCTAGGACTCTTACAGTGTGAATGTTGTTACGTTTTATGTGGTCCCAGAGGACTGCTAGACTGTCTTCAGTTTTTTTTCATTCTTTTTTCTATATTCTATTTTGCGGCAGTGATTTCCATCATTCTGTCTTCCAGGTCACTTATCTGTTCTGCTGCCTCAGTTATTCTGCTATTGATTCCTTCTAGTATATTGTTCATCTCTGTTTGTTTGTTTTTTAGTTCCTCCAGGTCTTTGATAAACATTTCTTGCATCTTCCCCATTCTGAGATCCTGGATCATCTTCACCATCATTATTCTGAATTCTTTTTCTGGAAGGTTGCCTATCTCTACTTCATTTAGTTGTTTTTCTGGGGTTTTATCTTGTCTCTTCATCTGGGACATAACCCTCTGCCTTTTCATTTTGATTAACCCTCTGTGATATGGTTTTTGTTCTGGTGAACTGCACGATTATAGTTCTTACTTCTTTTGTCTGACCTCCAGAGGATTAGGCTAACAGGCTTGTGTAAGCTTCGTGATGGGAGGGACTAGCAGTGGGAAAAACTGGGTCTTGCTCTGGTGGGCAGGGTATGCTCAGTTAAACTGTAATCTGATTGTCTGCAGGGTCTGTGCTCCCTCCCTATTAGTTGTTTAGTCTGAGGAGACCCAGCCCTGGAGTCTACAGGCTCTATTGTAGAGTTAATGGTGACCTCCAAGAGGGCTCAGGCCAGGGGCAGCACTTCCAAGGACTGCTGCTGTCAGTGCCCCAGTCCCCGTGGTGAGCCACTGCCAACCCACACCTCCACAGGAGACCCTCCAACACTAGCAGGTAGGTCTGCTCAGTCTCCTGCGGGGCCACTGCTCATTTCCCGGTGCATGCAAGATTTTGCTTGTGTCCTCCAAGAGTGGAGTGTCTGTTTCCACAGTCCTGTGGAAATCTTGTGACCAAATCCTGCTGGCCTGCAAAGTCAGATTCCTTGGGGATTCCTAGGCCTTTCGCTGGATCCCCAGGTTGGGAAGCCAGATGTAGTGTTCGGAACCTTCACAATGGGAGAGCTTATTTGGTATTATTGTTACCCAGTTTGTTAGTTGCCCACTCAGAGGATTATGGGATTTGATTTTATTGTGATTGCATTCCTCCTCCTGTCTCATTGTGGCTTCTCCTTTGTCTTTGGATGGGGGCTATGACTTTTGGTGGCTTCCAGTGTCCTCCTGTTGATGGTTGTTCAAGAGCTAGTTACAATTTTAGTGCTCTCATAGGAGATAAGTGCACGTTCTACTACTCTGCCATCTTGAACCAATTCCCTCTTTATTCTGTGCTCTTTGATTTAATGATTTTGTTTCCAGATGTTTATCCTAATGTTTTAAATGACATATATATATGAGCATTCCTACAAGAGGACTCATTAAATCAAAGTACAATATGAACACTGAATGTTAGTATTAATAGAAGTTATATTCAAAAGCTTTTCACCAGAGTGGGTGCTAATTGTTAACAAAGCTATTTCTTACCAAGTGTTTAGTACAATGCTTTTACACATAGTAGAATTAAAACTATTGAGTGGATCAAGCTCACATTCAAGTGAGAAAAATTTGTTTTTATGATGGCATGTAAGTCTATACAGAGGAAAGGGCTCCTTACTATGCCTAGGAAAAGAGGAAAACAGGCCTCCAAGAAGAGGTGCAATTGAAAGTGGGTCACCCATCTTCCATCATTATCATCAATGATAGTTATGGAGTGACTTCTATGTGCCAGGGAATGTGCTAAATATTTTACATTATCTCCTTTAATTTTCACATATTCTATAAGGGAGATATATTTATTATCCTATAAAGGATATTTATTTATTATCCTCATTTGATAGATTAAAAAAAGCTGAGGCCCAAGCCATGTAGCTAGTAAGTGACTTAGTTGTCAAGCAGTCTAGTCCAATGTTCTCGTCTGTTCCCACCCAGCCACCTGCCCCAGACTCAGCGCCTCCATGCCCATGTGCCCCAAGTGTGACATGGAGGTATACTTTGCTGAGTGGGTGACCTCCCTGGGGAAGGACTGGCATCAGCCTTGCCTGAAGTGTGAGAATGTGGAAAGACACCGACTTTGGGGGGGTCATGCAGAGCATGAAGGCAAGCCCTCTTGCAACCACCCCTGCTACACAGCCATGTTTGGACCCAAAGGCTTCACGCACAGTGGAGCTGAGAGCCACTCTTTCAAGTAGACCCAGGTTTTTAAGATCCCATCTTCAATTGCCCACCGGGCTGCTGCCCTCCAGGCTGATGGCAGGCCTTCCCCATAGGCACCTGGGGCTCCCCTGCAGACCCCCATCCCCTCAATAAACCCAGATACTTGGGGAGAAAAAAAGACATCAAGCAATCTGATTCCATAGCCCCATTTTTTTTTTTTTCCTCCACGTTGGGTCTTCATTGCTGCACATGGGCTTTCTCTAGTTGCAGTGAGTGAAGGCTACTCTCTGCTTGCGGTATACAGGCTTCCCATTTCGGAACACAGGCTCAGTAGTTGTGCTGCATGGGCTTAGTTGCTCTATGACATATGGGATCTTTTGGAACCAGGGACCAAACTCATGTCCTCTTCATTGGCAGGCGAATTCTTAACCACTGGACCACCAGGGAAGTCCCTCAATAGCCCCTTCTTGAATGCTTTATGTGTTCATGAAGAAGAGAAAGGGAAAAGAGGCATTGAAGGTAGAAGGAACATACAGCAAAGCACCAACTGCACGATGTTGTTTAGAGAGCAGCAAGTAGTCAGTGTGGCTTGAGCATTAAGGTACGGTTGCCCAGAGATGGCATGGTGGAAGGCCAGAAAGACAGACTGAGTAACATATTTCACTAACATATATTCCCTATATATGGAATTTCCAAACAGGAAGATGGCTATTGCTCTGGCATGAGGGTAGTCTCTGATTTCAGTGTTTTGTTCATGGCAAGAGCGTCAGGTTTTTTTATCCTTTCGAAACTATAGCATTCAGTTCTGTCTTCAGAGGATACTGTTCTGGTGCCAACCAGATGGAAGCCTTCCATCAGTAAAGTGTCAATCAGTAAGCCGAGAACATTAGTTCCGTTGGCCAGTTTTCGGTTATCAGGTTTTATGGAGACATACCTAGGACACACAAAAATGTTCAATTACGAAACATTCCTTTAATAACTAGCAAAACTAAATATATAAATTTGATTTATAACTTCAAATAAAGGCATAATACCACTTTTCTCAAGTTTTTTTAAAGACTTCATTTATAAATCTAAGCCAATAATTTCAGGCTACTGAAAATAGAGACCCTACTATAATCTCCAAAGTCATTTTAATTCTACATTTAGTAATATAGCTAACACTGATGAAGTCTCACTAAGCAATTATTTTCTGGAGCAAACAATTTCATCAAACAATTAAATTAGCTTGATTGTTATATAATGTAATTTTAACTATTTCCAGTTTTTCTTTTTGACTTACTAAATATTGTTTTAATTAACTGATTCAGTCATTTTGATAAACATCTGATACTTTTACAGTTTCCCCCTAGATCTAATTTTACTCATTATCAGCACTGACATTAAAAATTTTCTCCTGTGACTTTCTGTTATCGAAAGCATTTTTTCGGGTGAGGTTTTGCAGATATTAAATGTCAAGATTTTATTGTCAATTTTCCTCAATACCTATCCATAGTTGAAGAGTAAAACATAGGATCTAAAAGGACTCTAGAGTCAAAATGACAAAACTTCCTATTTTCTAGAACACTCAATAGAATTGATACACATAAATCAAGAAAAAATATATACCTTAACTTTTCAGATTGACTGTGCCGTGCTGAGCTTAGCTGCTCAGTCGTGTCTGATTCATTGTGACCCCATGGACTTAGCCCGCCAGGCTCCTCTGTCCATGGGGATTCTCCAGGCAAGAATTCTGAAGTGGGTTGCCATGCCCTCCTCCAGGGGATCTTCCCAACCCAGGAATCAAACCAGGTCTAATGCACTGCAGGCGGATTCTATACCATCTAAGCCACCAGGGAAGATTGCTTTAATAATGTCAACATAATAATACGTTGCTTTAATAATGTCAACATAACATATCCACAAAGATATAGCTATATCACCCCTTCTTTATCGACCATCTAGGATGTTTTTTATATCTTTGTGTCCTCCCACATGACATGAGTTTGAGCAAGCTCCGGGAGTTGGTGATGTACAGGGAAGCCTGGCATGCTGCAGTCCATGGGGTCACAAAGAGTAGGACACGACTGAGCGACTGAACTGTCCTCCCACCATTTGTTTATGAAATGTGAAAAAAAAAAAAAACTGCTAACTTAAGTTAGTTCCAGGCTGCCACCTAAACTGTCTGTGGTTTTATGGGATAAAAAGAGCCTTGGGGACACCCCTAGCCTCCTTTTAATTATGATTGATAGGCTGGTTATTGTAGCTCACATTTAGAAACTCATTCTAGACAAAGAAAAGAATTCAATAATAAAATGTAAGAATTATGAAACTACAAAGTACATACCCAAAAAATGTTTATTATGTTTAATACAGCAAATTTTTAACATTAGTAAATGATTTCATCTACCCACAAGCCCCAGATCTTGATTGTAGAGCCTAGAAACATTTGTCAAAGAAAAAATATTACAGAACATCTGACAAAATTAAGATGCAAATAGTATTGGTGTTGTTCAGTTTCTAAGTTGTGCCCAACTCTTTTGCAACCCCATGGACTGTAACCTTCCAGGCTCCTCTGTCCGTGGGATTTCCCAGACAAGAATACTGGAGTGGGTTGCCATTTCCTTCTCCAGGGGATCTTCCTGACACAGGGATCGAACTCACGTCCCTTGAATTGGCAGGCGGGTTTATCACTGAGCCAAGTGGAATATACTTGCAAGAAATCACTGGGCCTAAATATCAGATTCCCTAAGATGCCAAACTGAGAAATGGAAGATTTCAAGGCACAAGAAAAAGAGAAAAGAAACCAATGGGAAATGGAAAATCAAAACTTCTTTTAAAAACTTAAAAGGCAACTACACGTCTCCATTTGAGCTAGCTTAAAAAGGAAAAGACAGAATATGCTACCAAAGACTCTAGAATCCTGTGACCATAACTTGAGCTTGATAATGTGGTATCATATGAATGGCCCTCTGCAAGATGCATGCCAAATATTTTTAGTACTATGAACTTAAAGAGATAATAACTGAGCAACTTGCTAGGTTACCAAGACCTCAAAGTGATAAATCACATTAGTAGAACGTAACTGAACAGCTGGATGATATATCAGGCTCTGAGGAGCCATTCAGACTTACTTCTCCACTTTTCACCTTCCAAAAAAAAAATCTGAATGGACAGATTCAGACCAAGGAGTGAGCAGGAAATAAAAATGATTGCCAGCTAAGTAGGATATACCTAAGGTGGGCCTCTTAAGACCAAGAGTTTTCATCCGATGACCTAAACTCCCAATAATGTCACTGGATTTGGGTTATCTCGGCTCAGTTCAGTTCAGTTCAATTAGTTGTGTCCAACTCTTTGTGACCCCATGGACTGCAGCACTGCAGCCAGGCGTCCCCGTCCGTCACCAACCACCTGGAGCTTGCTCAAACTCACGTCCGAGTCCGTGATGTCATTTAACCATCTCATCCTGTTGTCCCCTCCTCCTCCTGCCTTCAATCTTGGGTATTCTCCCTCTACTCGGAAATTGGAATTATAGAAAAAAAAAAAAAAAAGGTCACGAACTACTTATCAGCTGAAAAAATTCTAAACTTCAAACACTGAAAAGAATACTATTTGGTGATGCAGGAAAAAAATCTCATCTTAAAAATAACTTCTAGTTTTAGAGTTATCTGTTTTGGAATTTAATTATAATGCCATTCTCTTATTAAAATGAAAAAAATCTGATTTGTAAAATACAAACAGTAAACAAGAAGGGGGAAACTACTGTCATTGTACACACAAAAATATCCCAACTTGAGTTTCTGTTTTTCAAGATTACATTTTCTCCAAATGTGTAGTTTTTAAAGATCATTTAGTATTTCCAGGATATCTTTTCACCTTGCACGTTTGTTCTTGAAATCAATTATACCACTTTTCCTTGTTTTTAACTTTTTATAAAGGGATCCCTGAAGATCTTAATCACTCAGATTTTTAAATAAAAACTGGTAATTCCCCTTCTGTTTATTTCAGTGTCCTACCAGTTGTGCACAGAGATATCTTAAAACATTTTGAGGTGAAGATAGGGTCTTAGGTTTTCTCCACAATCAGCATGTTAATTTAACTGGATCCCTTTCCCCAAAATGACATTTCATGAAAGACAGGAGATTATATATAAAGTGTGAATACTTCAGAACTGTCATACTGCCCAGGGTTTTTGAGCTGGTATGCAGGACCACAGGCTACGTTGTGGGAGAGGTAAACACTGTTCATTCCTGGTGTCTGCTGTAAAAGTTAATATCCCAAAATATGTCTACCTTTACCCCCAAAAAAGTACATTTTATTTAAATGCTATCAGTAAAGAACATATACAGACTTTTTTTCCCTCCTGAAAATTAAAGCCAGCTTTCACAGTTAGTAAAATAATAGTGGGACCGCATTAAGACATTTTTAAGGGGGAAAAGAAGTGTCCGTGACAGTAGAGTGAAAATCAGCCTGAGGCTCCAGCCAAGAATAACAGGGGGAGAAAGTTAATAACTGACTCAGAAGCAACTATCCTTAATATACTGACAGCCTATCCCAATATTTTGAGTTGTGCAAGAGTGCCAACGATGTAACAGGAGACCAGATTTGCCATGGGATATATCTGCCTTAATGGTGTTTAAGAAATAAAGCGGAATGGAGAAAAGTTAGTAGCCAAATCAGAAGGGCTGAAAGAACAAATATACATAGAGTGTAAGGAAATCAGGACAGACTGTTGAGCCTTCACTATATGCCAGCAACCAAAAGAAACCCTTGGGGTAGGAAAAGTCATCTCATTCCATGGGAGTGGAACGTAATCTATGAAATTATTTCCTCCTACAACTTGAATGACCATAGACCCAGTTTTCCCTGGACTATTTTGATTTATTCCTATTGTCCCATGTAATAACAATTCTTTCTTTCACTCACTCTGAAAAGTACCCCAATCTGGACAATAATTATCTGGTCATTCCACCCAACTCTACTGATTACCTCCCCCCCTCCAAAAAAAATTATTTTCAGTCATCATTTTTTCTAAGAAAATTCAGGCATGAGAAAATTTCAGTTTTGAGGGGAAACATTAGGAACTGGTATAATAGAATAGAGGCTTCAAAGTACAAAATACCTGATTCCTGTTTGGTTATCAGTAGTGCTGTCAGAGCCGCATTGGAAAACCAGGTCATGGTAAGATGGTCTTTGTGGAGGCAATGGAAGTAACGTCATCTGAGGAGGGAAAGAGTTACTACTCGAGGCTGGTGCAGAAGGTTGTTCTATAAACACTGCAATCCTCCCAGTTAGCATCTCAATTGTTTTGCTGCAAGAGCCAAACACCCTGAAGAAAGCCTGAGTGTTTCGGCTTAGGAAATGTACCTCCACAAGAGCAGGTCTTGGCTGTAACATGTGTTCTTGGTTTAAGAGATCCACCAGAGGACTGAGTTCATAGAATAGAGCCTCCCTCTTAAGTCTAAGATGGTCTGAAAAGTCAGTGGGTAGTAGAAGTTGGTGGGTTCTCAAAAAATCTAAGATGAAACTAAATAAAACACCATCTCTGTCCACAAAAATCTGGCCACCAACCATCTTGAATTCTTGGTCTCTGCCATCTAATATTCTCGTCAACCGAGAGCCAGGAAACTGCTTTAAGGTGGAAGACTTTGTGGTGAATACCTTCCCTCCCACGTTCAAAGTGACCAGTTCCTGACCACTCATTCTCTTGCTTCCAACTAAAGGCCACAAACCATCAGACACAGCCTTAGGAACCTGTAAATCAACCTTAACCACAATGTTAGTTATATATGATTAAGAAATCTAGGGGAGGGGAGAATAACAAAAACAGAGACCTAGATTTCCAGGTAACTACTGTTAAAGCAAATAGTGTGTCCATAGCTGTGTTTACAAATTTGAGAGTTACTTGGGAACATGCAGTATACAAAATGAAAAAGCAACAGATGAGAAACTGGATAGTTTAAGGAAACTGCCAACAGGTGTGAGAACAGGGAGCAAACAGTTACAGTATCCCATTTAAAAAGAAAAATTCTTCATGAAAACCTCTTGTAAATATGTATTTAAAATATATTCTGGAACCAGAAAACCATTCAGCCTCTCCACACCTCGTATCTACTCGAGTCCTCATGACAGAGACACTATTTCTAGAGAAACATCTTAATTTCTTATGACCCCTTTAGAAATTTAGTGGCTAAATCCTAGATTGACAGTTGGGGACGAGGCAGTCATTACCTCAAACAGCAGCTTAAGTTGACTACTCTTCTCATAACTGCAAAGGTTCTTCTGTACTTGAAATTTAGTTGCCACCTTTTTTTCCCATCCCTGCTTGTATTACCTCCTCTTAACCAAATTAATGTACTGGGGTAAACACACTCTGGACTGTCAAGGAATGTCTTGCCCCATGACAGAAATAAGTTTGACTGAAAGAGCTTCTAAGTCACTTCCTGTTTTCATCTGAAGCCTAAACAAGGTGAAAAAAAATTTAAGTGTTTTTGTTCTGTGGGAGATAGGGCATCTTTATCTCATGTGAGCAGACAGGATAGCACTCGTGTTTAGCTGATTACTTTGTACTTTGTAATAGCTGATAGACTGCTTCATCTACTGTCAAATGAGTCTCACTAAAGTTCTTTAAACAAATGGATTGGTTGGTTGTACAGTTGCCATTGTATTTTGTAACAACACTTAGTTGCCAGTAAAAAGGAGGCCTTCCCATTTCCTGCTTTTGCCATGTGTTCTTTTTAACCCATGCCTTGGCTTGCACAGTCACTAACACTTCTGTAGTTTACCGCCAAATTCCTTTGGTGATAATTACAAAACTTAAAAGCAGATAAAAGGCAAGCTGAAATAAATCTCCACCCACCTGTCAACTTAGCATAAGAAAATGCCATTTTTTGTTTACATGAGATTTACATTGTATTGGAAAAGGAAATCAACCCTCTGCAGAAAAAGCTGCAAATTCAATCCATCTTATCTTATTCCTTTTTTAAAGAATGTTCACTCTCAAAAAACAAAAAACAGTTGCTTTACAAGAGTAGTCTTTATTACATGCTTAAAAACAATCATTATTACACTACCTTATCAGTACAATATTAAATCATGTATTCTCTTACCCTCTCCTTTCATAGCACAAACACAACCGGTACTGGGGATAGGATGCTAATTTCAAAAGCACCTTTAAAAAGGAAGGCAGGCTGGAGACTAGACTATTAAATTTCACTTTTATCTTTATGCTACCTAATTTCAACATGTATAAGACATTATTTTTGAAAGGAATACTTTTAGAGGGCAATATCTGACTGGAATCTTAACCAAATCTGAACTACCACTCTATTCTAACAAATTTCTAACAAAAGACACAGAACTATGTACTTGAAACAGATTTTATAATAGTTTATATTTGCACACAAATTCTGCCACATTGTTCAGCACCACCAAAGTAAAACTCTTCAATCTTTCACTGAAAATGAAAAGCCCATCTGTCAACTGTTCCCAGTAGAAAACTGATTGTTCTACAAAATCAGCTGATCTAGTCAGGTAGGAACTAAAGTTTGAAAGATTATCTTTCCAAGTTGCAATTTCATCAAATACGGACCATTCTAGGAATATAGCGGGACTGAAGAAAATGAGAAGGCCAAGCAGAATGACCACCACAAATAATGGATAAAGTCTCCAGGGAATCTTGCTTATGAACGAGCCAGTGTCTTGAGGCAAAGACAGTTTATCCACATCCACTAGTTTTATGTCTTCCCACTGACTGGTATCAAAGTTCTTCATCAAAGGGCTTGAGGGCAAATTTGAGGGAGGCAAAGGAGTTTCCTTGATGACTTTTATTTTCTCCCTGAACTCCTGCATCTGTTGCAGAAATATGATGGGTTCTGACACATCTTTGAAAGCCTCAGCAATGTTAAAGGCCATTCGCTGCTCCTGCAAGATGGTGTTGAGTTTGTTGATCTCTGGGTCATAGGCCTGCATCACTGCAAGTTTCATGGTCTCAAAGTCAGACAGGATTTCATTCTTCTTTTGATCTAACGTGTATTGTAACTTCTCAAAAAACTCCTTCACTTTATCTGAATCTTTAGTCAGCAACTGTAGAGACTTCCTTTTGCTAGTTTCCAAGGTATCCAAGCGAGAAAGGGCATCTCCCCGACGCCAGGTCTCAAAGCTCTGGAAGAGGGACTCAAAGGCATCCCTTTCCTGAGCATAGGCATCTTCGATAGAACAGAAGACGTGCTTGGTGTGCTCACCCCGAGTCGCACAGATGCCACAGATCAGCTGCATGTCAGTCAGGCAGAAAATGTTGAGAGGCTGTCCCAAGTGTCCTTTGCACACTGGCATTTTGGGAGAGATCTTAATCTTGTTATACTTTTCCACAATACCCTTCAGGGAGTAATTAACCTGCAGGCTGTTGACTCCGGTTGCTGAAGTTTCCTTCCGGCACGTGGGGCACTTAAATGGGGAGGATCTCCACAAGGAATTCCGCACATTCCCCTCCAAGATCCCTTCCAAGCACTTTTTGCAAAAGTTGTGCGAGCAAGGCAAAACCCGGGGATCATCAAACAGACTGCAACAGATTGGGCACGTGAGGTCTTCTTCAAGCAGCTCCATCACATCTCCTACCAGAGAGAGAGAAACATTTTATTCTACGCCAGGAATCCCCTCCATTTGGGCTATGAAATAATTACAAGAAACTAACTTCACAGTCATTAAAAAATGCTCTTGTCACAGAAATAACCAGTCAAACAAAGAAAGAAAGAAATTTGGGACGGGAATGCACACCGAAGCAGGTTTCATCTGCTGGGACTAGAACACACTCCTTATCAGCGGGGCTCCGGTACACAAGGCCTTTGTGTGGGCTTTCCAACACAGCCATTGGCTGAGCCAGGGCGAGGACGAGGACAACTGCGAGTTGAGCCAGCAGAGCCCAAATGCTTGTTTTAAAACCGAGCCGACTACTAGCTGTCAGAAACAAAGCCACTCAGTGTCTGAGCAGAATGAGCTCTTTAGTCTGGGCCCACAATTATAAAATGGTATGCTATTTAAAGAAAGCAGAGATATAAATCCAAGCATGTTCTCTCACAGAGACTTTTATTAAAAACTGGCACATTTTCCTATTTCAAAGGCAAGATTACAATTATTAAAATCAGGGGTAAAAACATAAAATGAGAGAGCTGCAATTCATTCTTCCCTAGAGAATTAAATGGATATTTTTTAAAACCACTGGGACAGTAATCAAAGCTGTTTGCGCTGTCTGGAGCAATCAGTTCTCAAGATGCAGTGGGGAGAAACCTGGGCGTCCCTAAGGCTCTTCTAGGGCACCTGTGAGGACAATACTATTTTCATATAATACTGAGATGCTATTTACCTTTGGCACAGTGTTGACACTGCACTGTTAAAGCAATGGTTAAGCAGATACGGCTGGGGCCTTAGCAGGAACCAAACAAGACCACAGGTAGCCCCAAACTGGATTCCTAATGTATTCTTCAACACCACATACTCACAGTTGGGGCAAAGGTGAGGGCAGCCAGGTACATTTCAGAATGTTCTTAATGAAACAGTAAAAATTATTCATTTTACTAAATCTTAATCCTTGTGTACATATCTTTTTAAGTCCTTCATATAACAAAATATGAAGTAACCACAAAGTATTTCTATTGCATACCAGCAGATACTGTCTGGAGGAAAAGCAATTAGGCAATTCAGCCACACGCTAATCAGCTGCTTTTTTCAGGGAACACCATTTTTATAATTGAAACAATGAATGACAAACTATGGGTGTGGAGACTTAGGTATCTGGCAGACATTTTTCTGAAAACAAACAAAATGAGCCCATCACTTCAAGGGAAACAAATGACAGTGTTTCTCGCCAATGATAAAAAGTTGAATTTTTAAGTGAAAACTGGATTTTGGCAAACATAGTTGCCACTTAAGAGCTTGATAGCTTACCATTAATTAAAGACTTTTCTAATGAAACAAGTGGTAATATTAACATGCGTATTGTTTTACGACAGAGATCTTTATATAATATGTCACTGGAGATCTACTGGGGAAGGAAATGGCAACCCACTCCAGTATTCTTGCCTAGAGAATCCTGTGCACGGAGGACTCTGGTGGGCTGCTGTCCACAGGGTCGCACAGAGTCGGACACAACTGAAGAGACTTAGTGTGCGTGCGTGCATTGGAGATCTACATTACACAGCGAATTAACTGGTTCAAATCACCAATGCATGTTACAGGTCATGTCTGGGTAAAAGATCAAAAGACCATTATGTTAAAAAAAATATGATTTCAGATTTCATACTTCAACTAACTTTTAAGAAACTACCACTTGTTGAGTTTTGGTATGGTACCAAAGAAGAGTGATAGTTTTCCGAAAAGGCCATTAAAATATTCCTCCTTTTACCAATTACGTATCTGTGCCAAGTCAAATTGGATTTTCTTTGTATATTTCAACCAAAATAACTGATTCTAACAGATGTAATGCAGAGATACATAAAAGATTCCTGTTGTTGTCTACTAAATGGTGATTCTCGACAGAGATCTCTAAATATGTAAAACAAGGCCACCCTTCTCACAACTGTCCTGAAAAGTTATTTTTCACAAATTATTTATGTTAACATGTGAAAGGTTTAGCGTTGTCATTTTAAATGAATTACCTTAAATTTTTTTCTCAGTTTTAATTTCAAATACACATGTAAATAAAAGCTCTTGGGAGCCTCAGCTTTCAAGTCTAAAGGGGTCCTGAGACCAAAATATTTGAGACCTTAGAACTACAGAATACTAAATCTCAATTCAAGTTTATTCTTTTAAAATGTGTATTTTAAAACTCTTATCCCTAAAGTTTTAGAAACAAAAATACCATTAAATATGTCACCATTCAGTTTACTAAGATAAACATATCCTTCATAATTTATCACATTGCCACCAAAGTAATAAAATTTATACATAATAAATAAATAAAATAGGGTCTACTAATCTCTATGTCATCTTATAACCAAAAGTAAGTAAACATTTTTTGTAGTAATTTTAAGAATCACAATTGGAGCTACAATGTAGAAGACTTAAAAGATACGCTGAACTTGCAGAACCAATTAGTTTATGGTCTTAGGTTGTGAGAGATATATGTATAATAAATATATAATACATATATATGTGGAACTGGGGCTTCCCTGGTGGCTCAGTGGTTTGATCTCTGGGTCAGGAAGATCCCCTGGAGAAGGAAATGGCAACCGACTCCAGTATTCTTGCCTGGGAAATCCAATGGATAGAGGTGCCTGGTGGGCTACAGTCCATGGGGTCGCAAAGAGTCAGACACGACTTAGCAACTAAACAATAATAATGTAGAACTAAAGTAGAGTATTCTGTCAAAATTTAGTGTCATATGGCAAAAATGGTGATGAGCTTATTTTTCTGAAAAATCTTTTGTGACATGACAAATCAATCTTTGAAAAGCACTGGAAAGAGAATGGCTTCAGAGACTGAGGTTAGTGTGCTGAAAGGTTATCAGGCAGTTATAAAACATTCTGACTCTTTAGAGCAAAGAAAGAAAACTTTTCATGATCCTCCACCACTAGTCCTGGTTCTATCACCTCCCCTGCTCTCTAGCATGTTTCACCTAGAATTATATTTTGGAGTAAGCAGTAGGAACAGGAAAGTAGTGGCAGCAGCATTCAATAAAGTAAACCTAATTTACTCTTCCTTGCCAGGTTAGTATTTCCAGAGAATCCTATCTAAGCATGTTAAATAACTAAAAGGAAGAACAAAGGATACTAAGTTTTGTCATGAGAAGGAGAAAAAGGCACCCAAGACAAAGAAACTTTGAAGAAAACTGAGGATACTGCAATAGTGGCCAAGAAGAATTTTAAAGCAATCAAGTATGATTTTAAAAAAAGGAAAATGTCACACACAGGAAAATTTAGAAATAATAGTCATCCCAAAGCCATAATCAATTTACAGCTCTTAAAATGAACCAGAGAAAAACATTACTATTTGGAAAGTCCCTTTTCTAAAAAAATTGCATCAAAACCATAGTAGATCCTGTTGTTCCACTTTTAGTGATACAACTTATAAATTTTAGTTCATAATTTAAAGATTTTCATTTTAATCCACATTAAAACAATTTTCTTTTCTTAGCTTTATACTCAAAACCTTATGTCAAAACTCTGTGACCACGTCCCTAGCTGACTTTTAGAGAAAACTGAGATATATTAGCCTAAGAACCCAAGAAACCATGGCAAGTTTGCTGCCTTAAAAGTTTTAAAGGAAAACAATAAGGTTTTTAGCCTAAGAGAAGGGTATGCTTCACAATAAAGGAACTTAGATTCTTTTTTTTTAAAAAGTGTGCTAACACATAAAAATCTAAATAAATCACCTGAGCTTACTTCTTTGATGAAACTAAAATATATATCCCCTTTGTGTGGGGACAAATATAGATGTCAAGAAACTTTATTATGTGAACAAAATTTCTGTTCACCAGTCATAAAATTTCAACTTAACCAATCTCAAATTAAGTATATAAAGGCAAACAAGTTTTCCCAGATTCATTTCTTCTTTTGAATTAAAAACTTCCCTAGTTCCATTTATTTTGGCTGCTCCACGCAGCTTGTGGGATCTTAGTTCCCTGAACAGGAACTGAACCTGGGCCTGCAGTACAGAAATCAGAGTCCTAACCATCACACTGCCAAGGAATTCCTAAAAATCTCCCAAGTTCTATACCAACAAAGAAAGTAGCTGAATATATAACTAGTTACCTACCACCTCCTCTGGTTTTCAACTTCGTCTACTGTATTTATACTTTGAAATATGTTTTTTAATTTATGGAGAATAAAACTCCTTTTGGTACATAATTCTATGAGTTTTGACAAATGCAGTTGTATAACACCACCACAGATTTATTTTTAAGCAAACTTTCAAAATATCCACTCAAGGAAGACCACAAAAACTGTTTGATCAATACTACCTTGACTGGGTATATATTACTAGCAACAAGAGTTGTTAACACAACAACCAGAATATTTTAAAAGATAGAAAAACTAACAGTTACGGGCTTCCCTGGTGGCTCAGACAGTAAAGAATCTGCCTGCAATGTAGGAGACCCAGGTTCGATCCCTGGGTCAGGAAGATCCCCTGGAGAAGGCAATGGCCATCCACTCCAGTACTCTTGCCTGGAGAATTCCGCGGACAGAGGAGCCTGGCAGGCTACAGTCCATGGGGTCACAAAGAGTCGGACACGACAGAGGACTAACACAACCCAAAGGAAAGGAGTCATAAAACAGAAGTAAAAGTTGACTTCTCTCTCTTGGAAGCCTTTTTGTTTTTATATGATCAACTCAAAATGATTATAAATGAAGAGGTGTTCATTTTATTCACTCTTAAAAGGTAATTTTAATAAAACCTTTTAATTAAAAGAACCTTTCCTATTAAATCTTTGCACTTCATTAGTTGACAACAATATAAAGTTCAAAATAATATCCATGATTTTTTTCCCAAATCCCATTAGAGAATAAAAAGATTATACCTTGTATCTTAGAAATTTCAACCTCATTTCCATCCTGCTTTGAAGCATCTTTGAATTCAGAAATTTCAAAGCAGTATGTAAATACCTAACA